AAAAATAGAATTATTCAAATGCTAAACTGTAGAGATTTCTGTCTTAGGAATATTGTGGAAAATTTCAGCCCTTCCAGACTCTATCTGAACTGTTGGAGGCAAAAAGAAAGGAGCTGAATTTACAAATTATTATCTACAAACAAGAAATAGCTGAAATGTACTAGTTAAATATCATAAAACACACTAGCACTCTGTGCCAGAATTTGTCTATAGACAAAAATGTGTGAACTAGATAAACTATTCATGACACATTGAATATAGAATGTATTGCTCAAAATAAAAATTTGAATATTTATAACTCAGAGCAAAAATGGTTTTTAAAAGCCAGTAATGTTTATATTATTACAAAATACTTGCAAATCATCTTCTCACATCTACAATCTAGTCTTCTCAAATATAACACCAAATTCTTTGCACAGCAAAATGAGAAACTCAATGATAATTACACAGAAATGAAAAAAAAAAACAACCACAAAACCAACAACTGGCTTAATCACAAAGTTTAACTTCAGTGTTCATCCCATGTAGAAGCCACATTCCGGTGCTATAATTAATGAATCTTTCCCTCAAGAGATTGATCTATGTTGGGCAGGTTTTAGATTTCTCAATTCATATATGCTTTCTACAAAACATCCAATAAACAGTTAACACCGTGTTTTTGTTGTGCTATTTCTGAAGAATTTAAATACCTTTGGATTGAGGATACAAAGAAATATTAAATCAGAGGAGATTACTGAAAAGGCAGACTCTTTCATGTTAACAAAATGAGTTATTTTACAAGATTTTAAAAACCAAGGAAGTAAAAAAGTCACAACCAGAAACTGTAGAGAGAAAATAGGATTACATTTATTGGCTACTATATCAACTTAACTTCTCATAAACTTCTCCTGATCTATTAAATAACTTCAGAACTGAAGTATGCTCTCCTACGAGAGTTGTAAAACAAATTAAATACAATTACAAGTCAATACAAATAAAAAACCAACCTATTTGCCTTACGATTTCACATTTTATAGCTTTAGCATTGAAATTAGACCAAAATCTCCCCTGATAATTCAAATCAGTCACTTGCTATAATTACAGATTTTTGTGTGTATCGAGGAAAAAAAAGAATAATGTGAGTAAATGTTGGATTAAAAAAACCCAACAAACCAAAACAACAAAAAAAAACAAGCTGTAGTAACTATACCTCCCCAAAGTGAATACAACAAACATCTGTTGCAAGAATTGCTTGGCTTTCAGACAGTATGTAAAGGGTATTCTTTTTCCCAGTGCTTTGCTATTTTTTAAAAAAGCTTATTCAATTAAAAAAAAAAATCCAACAAGAACAACAACATCTTTCCACTATCAATTTTCAGAATGTCAAATCTTAAAACTATGTTAAATGAGACACAGTCGTTACCAGGTATAGCGCAGAAAAGGGAAACTATGTGAAGCACAAGATTCCACTTGCACTCTAAAAGGGCTACAGAATCATTGGGCACGCTGCCCTTCGCCTGTGGGTTACATGACATTTTAACCATTGTTTCTCTTTCCTTGTTCAGTGCTCTACACAAATAGAACCCTCACAGCAGAGGAGGGGAATAAACATATAACTTCCTCATCATTTCATCCTCTTTTGGAATCCTAGTGGTAATTCTGTTTTCTCTCTGGATTTTATCGGCTTCTAAAAATCAATCATATTCTGGTAGCCTCGTTACAATGCTGAATGAAGTACTCAAATTTGACACCAGTGACAAGATTAAAAAACTGCACAAGTTTTGCATAATCATTAAACAGAGAAAGTAAATAAGTGAGAAGAATAATTGCTAGCCTTAATGATTCCCTCTTTTCTTAATTGTAAAAAAAAAAGTTTAGGAAACTAAGTGCATTTTCTTTAATTCTGAAAGAACAGAATTTTGCCTAAACTTCACAAGTATTTTTCCAGAGCAAAACTCAATCATTTTAACATTTAGACACTCCACATAAAGCACTCAAGTTAGCAGAAATAAATGAAGGAAAAAAGTTTTCAAGCAATAAGTCATTAACACACACCACTTCTACACATATTATTTCAAGTTACATGTAAAATCTTATTTTTCAGTCTTTTACTTCCTCTTCTATGTAATGTCTACCGTCTAACCACTCTGAAGTTATTGTTTGTCTAAAAATTTAAGATACCGTTTCATAGCTCCATTTTTAGTTAATAATAATATTGGTGCATTTTAAAGAAACATTTGTAAAGTATTTCAACAAGCATTGGAAGGAAGGCAGCAAAAAACTCTGTGTCATCCAGCAATGAGGAAATCGGGAAGCTTCTCTTCCTTTCCCTGCCAAACCTAAAGTCTGTGCACTGTGTCACTTTTCCATAAACTTCAGGGAGACATAATGCAATTTGCCCTTATTCGCCATTAAAACAGTCTAAACAACATCCATGTGACAATGTGCTTATAAAATAATAGGAAAAGCCCTCAAATGAAGATTTTGCAAATAAAACAAAAAATTGAGGAAAATGTGTTTAAGATACATAGAAATGAAAAGGTCAAAAGCACGCCTTCTCCCCAGTAGTCTCCCTGCTTATTGATGCCAAGTGGATTCCAACTCATGGCGACCCTGTATCAGATTTCTAACACTGAAAATCTTTAAAGAAGGAGACTGTCCATCTTTCTCCCTATTACTGGTGGGTCTGAAGTGCTAACCTTTTGATTAGCAGCCCAGAAAGTAACACACTATACCACCAGGGCTCCTTATGTATGCTCCAGTTTTAAATCATTTCCAAGCCATTCCTGTGGCAACTGGACATGTACAACCTCTACCTTACTAAACGATAACTTCTAACGCCTTTGCAAAATGTGTGTGTGGGGATGTCCCTGGAAGAAATGATGTACAACAGAGAGGGAACCTGAGAATTTTGTACATCTTATAGATTTATAATATTTGAGAGTTTTATATATCCTCTAAATCCAAAACTGCTCTAAAAAGAAAGTCTGGTTTGTTTTTTATTTTTTGTTTATTTTTTAAAAAATACCTCATTTCCTATGATAGCCAGCTCATACTCAGAAGTAATTAATCGTTTAGAGCTTCCTTTATTCAATGTGACAGTTTCTGTGTCCTACTGAGGGTTACCATGAGGCATGTATTAATGTTTAAAGAGTACAGTAGCCTGAACAGTATGATTTCTAAAAAAAGAAATAAACATTTTCTTAAATAAAAAAAATCCTTTTCAAATATTGTATATGAAGTGAATAAAAGACTTTGAAGTTAAGTAAACTTTTTTATAGTACTATAGATTATATATTACCCATGTATGCACATGTTATACTGCTTATATATAATCTTTTTTTTTCTATAATTATATTTTATTAATTTTCATAAACATTTACAGAGATTTTGGGCTTCCACTCATTCATTGTTGCACTATTCTCTCTACCCTCCTCCCAGTTTGTTCTTGTCCAAATGCCACAGTGCTTGTCAAATCCTTGCTTATATATAATCTTAACATGTATACATACATAAATATAACATGTATTATCAATAACAATACATGTTCAGCAAAATACTTTATAATCATAAACTAATTAAACACTCACAATCACAAATGATTAGATCCTATTATACTCATTCTTCAGACAGAAAAATTGATGCTGAGAAGTTCAAAGATTTGCGTAAGGTAAAAAGATTTGCGTAAGGTCTTAAGAACAGGTCACTAAGGCATTGTAATTATATTGCTGAATACATGTAAATTAATGCCTCTCTGAATGGATTTTTATTGCTATTTTTATCTTAATTACTTAATATTCTCTATAAGGTATTTACAAAATCTGGAAAGAAGAAAGGTACTAACTGCTTAATGCTGAATGTGACAACTGAAGATAAAATAAGTTCTATTTCCTTAATAGATACTAGCCTTTTAAACTCTTTTCCTAAAACTCAAATTTTTGGTATCTCTTTGTTGTAGTACTTTAAACTTCAAAGAGAATCATCCAAATTAATCTTGCTCACTTATAATAATAAACTGTATTATTCCCATTTTACAGGTGAGAACCTAGGCACAGGAACAAAGCTATTTGCCCATGGGTCACACACTAAGTGTGGGGGAGGTTTGGAGTTAGAACATGTAATTTCTTGGCCCCACTTCCATTTTTTCAGACTAAAGAGCAAAACCATTCCTATTAATCACCTTATTCCAAAGTCACTTGAGGAAACACATAACTTTTTTTTGGAAAGCGGGGGTGGGAGGGATGGGGGAGATGAGGGGTGGGGTGGGATCACACCCTGAAAGCTACGAGTATAAAGGAATACATCAAAAGTTGTTATTCCATCCTACTTGAAAGTTGTAATTCCCTGTAATTCAAGTTTTAAAACTATTCACACTCCTTATTACTTTATTACCATGAATCAGAATCTCCGCTGAGTGAGACACTGATCACCCAGAACTCCTACTTTTATAGGTGAGATACAACCAAAGGAAAACTAAATGAAGAAGATAAAGAAGGAGTTCCTATTAAAATAGATTTTGTTGGTCTGGAATGTGCCAGCTAAGACATCACTCTTCAGCGTGGCTGACTACAGAAGCCTCATTGCTCCTGGCCAGCAGCAAGAATCTGAGAGGCACAAGAACATGGCATTTGAGGGCAAGTAATGTCAGTAATATGCACAACACATTCCTTGACAAGCTGGAGAATGAATTAAACAAGTAAGTGAATCAGAGAATAGGTCAAATAACCAAGTTTTAAAGTCTTTTAAAACACAAAAGAATAACTTTTACTAAACAATTTCGTTAGTTGGTGGTTGTTTTTGTTTGTTTTTTAAGGATCTATTTTGAGGAGTGTGGGATATGAGTGGGTCATGTATGAAAACAAGAATTTCTGTCCTTTATAAATTTTAAGAAATGAAAGTTTCATATTGAAAACAGCATAATCAGTACAGCTTTCTAATCATATGCCTCTTGCTAGATTCCAATATGGCAGGAGACACCAACAAATGCAGGCAAACAGAGCTGTCAATTTAATGAGACATACCTCTTGTACTGAGCGAGCAGCTGGCTTGTCTTGATGATTGGCCAATATTAAAAAGGGCAAAGTGCATAACTGTGGGTGCTGGAGAGCTGAGTGCAGTTCATTCCTAGCAGTTTCTAAATCATCTTCTGAAGAGGCACTGTCTAACACAAATATTACCCCTTGAGATCCTTGGTAGTAGCGGCTCCAGTATTTCCGAATATTATCAGCCCCTGCAAAAAACAAGACAGATTCTCCCTTTAAAAAATGTTTTCAGCAACTGGAAATGAATCCCAACAGTAATTCCTAAGGAAAACCAATGCAGCTTTTAAAAAATTAAGTGTTCAATTCTTGGCACAGAAGCAGAATGGGAATTCAGGAAAGGTAGAGAAGAGGGAGGTTGAGATCAGAAAAGGCATGAAGACCCAGCAGGTGGACACGGACTTAAATGAGAACACAAAGACCTGAGGGAAATCCTTGACGCCTTCCTTATCCGTATATATGACGAAAAAGAACCAGGATAGGCATTTCTTAGCTTTAAACGCAAAACAATTATTTCCAGCATTTGCCCATTGGTCTTAAATAAACTACATTTTCTAAGATTGAGTTTGATTGAAACTAAATGCAAGAACAGGGTAACCTTGATGTCCACCAAGTACTTTTTACAACATTGTATTGTCTTGGTTCTATTTCTAATGGTACAGTTTGCTGATTACAACAGCCCCACTTCATTTCATCTGAATATGGCATGATAACTTTAAGCACCAAAGTGACAAAATCTTGGTCTTGTATGTGTATTTCAAGACACTATAGTTTAAGTTCTAATTCACACAAACACATAAAAGAAAAAGAACACCCTCAGAGTTTTGATTAAATGAGGAAGATAAAGGGTTGGTCCATATTAAAACACATTTGATAGCATGGAGTTGTAAGACTAGATAAGTTATAAGATTACTTTTATACTCAATCAATTATTATTTCATCATTCACTAACTCACCAGAGTTCTCTTGGGTATTCTATTAGGAGATGCTTTCCTAATGTCACAGTTGGAAAGGTGGAAGGCCGGTGAAAGAAAAGAATATGTTCAACCACGTGGAGTGACTTAAGCAATGGACTCAAGTACGAGAGAAATGATAAAGATGGTACAAGATAGGGCAAGGTTCAGATGTGGTTTTCTTTTTTTAAAATTTAATAATTTTAATGAATATTTACAGAGATTTTGGATTTCCATTCATTCATTGCTGCACTTCTCTCCTCTCTTTGACAGATGTGTTTTTCATAGGGTCACTATGAGTCATACTTGACTCAACCACACCTAACAGCAACAACATGGCCAAGTAGGTAAGAGGAAGGGTTGTCTTCCTTGCCTATAAGGAGAACACTGGCTGCACCTTCTCTGACACATATATATTTGTTCTTTTGGCAGTCCATGGGACTCGTCTCCAATTGTTGTTGTTATGTGCCATTGCCCTGCCTGTGACTCATATTGACAAGAGCTCTGTACCCTGTCCTGTCCTGTCCTGGGTCAGTCTCACTAACTCTGACACACCTAACCTCACTGCCCCAGTAACTGTGTCTATCCATCTCCTCTGGGATCTTTCTCTCCTGAGCTGTCACTCTAACCTTCCAAGCATGATATTCTATTTTAAGATGGCTCTAGAAATTACCTTTTTAACCATGAAAGTGACCCCATTTTTCCTCGCCTTTTCATCTTTGGTATAGTAGATCATATGATTGTCTGATTCAAAATATGTCAATCCATCTCATTTGACCAACACCTCGTTTGTCAATGTGCATGCCATTCATTTCTTAACAATATTCAATTTTCCATCCTTCATGCTTCTCACCTTCCACGTTCCAATCATTAGCATCTACTTACAACTGTTCCTCCTCATTTGTGTTTCCAAATTCAAGGGCTCAGCCTCAGGTTCCATGTCTGCTAGTTTACTCTCAGTGTGTTCTATTGTACATAGGGTTTTCAAAGCCTTGTTATTTCAGAAGAGGATAGCCAACCCTTCTTCCTATCTTCTTCAATATCACAACTAAAAAAAAATTCCAATAATTTAAAAAAAGAAAACCCATATTTTTGGGGGTCATCTTTATTCATTGTCCAGCTTTCAGACACATAGCTAGTGACTTAAAAGACCATGACTTAAAAAATGGCACACTTTAGTCTTCAATTGGCATCACTGCTCCTCAGTACGTTGGAGAGTCCCTTTACAGCATAATTTCCCAATGCAATATGTCTTTTGATTTCTTCAATGAACATTTGCAGAGATTGTGGATTTCCGTTCATTCATTGTTGTATTTTCTCCCTGCCCCCCTCCCAGTTTGTTCTTCTTTAAAAGCAAAAGAAAAAACTTTTTCATTGGTACACAATCCTCCCACACCCTCCCACCCTCACCCTGAGTATACTCCACTCTGCAACCCTCATTCCAAACTCTTATGATAATCATAATACCCTAAAATATATTATTTTTAAACTGTTATCTTTTGATTTCTTGACTATGAGTGCCAAGGGTGTTGGCTGTGGGTCCAAGCAAGATTAAATTAGTGACTATTTTAATCTTTTCTTCATTTATCGTGATGTTGCCTATAGGACCAGTGGTGAGGATTTTTTTGTCTTCTTAATGTTGAGCGGTAATCCACACTACAGGCTGTAGTCTTTGATCTTTGCAGTAAGCATTTCAAGTCTTCCTCACTTTCAGGAAGCAAGGCTGTAGTACAATTGACTCAGCTTTTGAAACTACTTGTCAGATTCCAAGCATTTGAGGTATAATAATCTTAAATATGCACAAAGATATGAGTAAATCTAATGTTCATCAGTAAAGGGCCAACAAAAGAAATAACAGACAAAAAAAAAAAAAGGAAAAATATAACAGAGAATATCTAACACAGGAAGTTAGTTGTAAAGGAGACAATGGAACTAAGAAAATTAAAAGGTCATGTTGGTGGTTGGTGTGCTCTCAAGTCAGATCTCACAGCTGACTCTCCAGCAGATTTTCAAAGGCAATAAATCCCATGGAAGGAGACTGACTATCTTTCTCTCATGGAGCAGTGAGAGAAAGTGGTTCAAACCAAATGCTTCTGGATTGGCAGCACAGTTCCTTACCAAAAGGCTACCAGAGCTCTCTAACAGGAGCGTGGAGATCCCCAAGAACTGAGATCAGCTTTCCTAGAAGTCATCTGAGATGGGTTTTATGGAAGATGGGTTTAGAGAGGGAGAGCTATCAGGAGAAACGTGTAGCATAATATGCAAGCTAAGATCAGGGAAACAAGATAGGATGAAGAACCAAACTAGGGAAAGATAGGGATTCAGAAATTGAGTCATTGTTTGACCTTCATATAGAGGTTTAGAGCTTGGATTAAGCCACAGAATTTGTTCAATCCAGAAGTAAAGGAGCTGAGCTCTGATATCCTCACATAATCATTGGCTGTGAGCCACCCCTGAAGAGGAGGAGGAACTCTGGGATGTGATCTCATAATCGTGCGAGCATATTTGGTTGAGGCAACTCGCGAGGCAGTTCCTGTCAGCCAAGGGCAGGCCTCTGGAGAAGGGTACAGGTGTGACTCATTAGCAGCCAACAACCACAGCAGCTGGGAGATGGGTGCACTGGCCCAGTAAAGGAGATCTGGGTGGGAAACCAACAGCATCTGCTGCAAGAACGACCCAGACACCATCCATATGCTGGAGAGCCATCCCTAAGCTGAAGGGACAAACGTGGAGGCAGGGTTACCCAGTGGCAAACGTTTTCAACCATAACAAAAATATTGTGTAAATGTACATTTGTATATAAGTTTATCGAACATTTTACTAATATAAAGGGTATCTAACACATAATTTTCATATTATATACACACACACACGTACACATACACTTTTTGGGTAAATTTTGTATGTAAATAACTTTACATATTACTTCACAGTTCTAAATAAACCATAATCTCTACAAGGTGCATTCAAACTAATTCAGAAAACAGTATAACCTATATATTCACCAAAACTACATGCTAAAGTAGCATCATCATGGTGATTATTTCTAATCAAACTGCTTATTAATCAGGACAGCCTTGCATGAGTTAAAATTATTAGCACAATAACTTCAACTTTCAAAGTATTGGAATTTGTGGAAGGTAAAAACTTGGTCTTTGGTGTTGAACTCCATCTCATTCATTTCTGTGGCACACTGGGTACTTTAACAAACAATATTTTCATGCCCAATTTTGTTTAACTAAACTTTTGTATCCAAAGGCAATTAATGATTGAAATTGATCAATAAATATAACTTTGACAAGAATGTTGGTTGTTGTAAGGGTTTTTATTTACCCATAACAGTCTTATGATGTTGTTGCTGTTAAGTACCATCATGTCAACTATGACTCATAGCAACCCTAAGAACAAGAGATCAGAACTTTGTACTATCTTGTGCAATCCTCCTGGCCTGTGATATTTATGAGCCCACTGTTACAACTGCAGTATTAATCCATCCTGTTGAGGCTTTTCCTCTCTTCTGATCCTCTACCTTCCCCAGCATGGTGTCTTAGAAGGTATGTATAGTTATTTATTTACGTTAATTACCTTGTAATGTTGTTGTGTGCTGCCGAGTTGGAACCAACTCAACTGACCCTCCAGCGGGTTTTCAGAGACAGTAAATTGCAAGAGAGGAGACTGTTCTTCCTTCTCCAGAGTAGCAGTTGGTGGATTCGAACTACATGCGCTAGAGAATGCAGCGCAGCTCCTTTCCTCTCAATATAGAGGCCCAGACACAAAAAAGCTAAGTAACATATGCAAGGTTACAGACCTAATTTAGGTGGAATGTGCTTCAAATCCAGCTAGTGTTGATAAGACAGATGATGGTGGTTAAAAACTAACTCTAAACTCTCTCTCTCTCTCTCTCTGTGTGTATGTAGGGATAAAACTTAAGAATAAAAGAAAAAGAACAAATTCGAACCTCGAGTTGCTACAATCAAGGATGCTTTAGGCAGAATGTTAAATGATCGAGGAGGTATCAAAACAAGATGGAAGAAATATACTGAGTCATTGTATCGAAAGGAATTGGCAGATACAGAAGAATTTAATGAAACAGCATTTGAGCCACAGCCTATAGTGATAGAGGCAGAAGTTCAAGCTGCTTTGAAGGAAATAGCAAAAAATAAGGCCCCCGGAATAGATGGTA